TGGGGGGGGTTGGTTTTGTTTTTGGTTTGGGTTTGGGTTTTAGTTATAATGGCTTTGGTTTTTGGTTTGTTTGTTCTTTGTAGTAGTCTCTTATGGGAGGGGAAGCAGTTTATTTTTGTTTGTTTTTTTTTTTTGTTTTTACAGTATTTTATGGGAGGAGAAGGGATGAGGCAGTGATTGGTGTTCATTTAAGCCAGTATACCTAAATATATACTATCCTTATATTTTTATTTCATTACACTGCAACTAACTGTTGAATTTAAATTTATTTTTTTAGGCAAAGGAGGCCTTGCTGCGTTGCTACAAAAAGCCAAGGATTTTTCCAGCGAATCACAACAGCAACAGTCACAACAGACATCAGATCAAAGTGATCAAGCCAGCGGCTCCAAAAAGTCATCCGGAAAGATGTCCAGCTTCATGAAAAAACTGAAAGACTTCACGGGCTTCTCTGATGAGCCAGTGGCAGGTGTGTACTTGTACACAGCCACAAATACGTATACTCTGTTCGCTTTATTCAGGCGTAATTTATACAGAGGACCTTCTAGAAATTTCTGTTTAAAGTCACTTTTGCCAGTGGCAGGTTTGTGCACAGCACAAATGCATGAAGTGCTCTGTTGGCTTTATTTGGGTGTTATTTATACAGAGAACCATCTAGATAATTCTATTAAAGTCTCTTTTGAATGTGGCCTGAGTGTTTCTGTTTGTAGGTAGGTGTTCGTACACTGCTTTTTAACTTTTTGGTTGTGTTATTTTTGTGTGTTAGATTGTGTTGCTTTCATTCCTACTAATTGACATTGAAAAAATTGGATTTCACTGTAAGTTTTTGGTGAAAAAGAGCTGTCTTCCTTGAAGAATGGCGAAAAAAAGTAAAGATATTTGACTATCTTTCATGTTGGTTTCTTACAGAACGGAATGGACGCTTAACTAAGTCTAACTTAAATCAATTGACATGGTAGGGCAAAAACTGTTTACATGTCACACGCGACTAAATGGTCCAACTGAGTTATTTCTATTCAAAATTACCACAGACTGGAAAGTTTTATGTGTTTCAGCACTGGGATTTGTCTTCATGTAGTATCTCTCGATGCACATTCAATGATTCTTCTTCTACATGCATGGCTCCTTTTCTTTTCAAATGTTACCGTGCATTGGAACCCTAGCGCTTGTGCTCGCATAATTTCTATTTATACATAGATAGATGTAGAAGAAAATTACCAGCGTCTGTAGATCTAGCAGTTAGGCTCTTCACGAACGTACACTGAGAATGTGAGTTTCATATTTAAATGAGGTTTTTTTTTTCTTTGTTGCTTTTCTTTTTATTTTACTTTTTTTTTTTTGTCCAGCATCTCCATTTGTCTGCAGCAGTTTGTCCCTTTGAGTCCGTTTTCATCCTGACAGGCAGACATGATCAAAGCATCCCGCCTCCTGAATGATCTATATTTGTGTCAATGGGGGCGGTAAACACTAACAATTACTATTTTTCCTTACAGATGAAGACGTGATGTCTGACGCTGACCTTCAGAGGGACACAGCGAGGAAGCAGAGGGCAATACAACACCACACAAATCAGTTCTCTCGGGCTCTCACCAAACTAGAGAAGCTTCGAGAGGCATACCAGGCATCAAAGGCACACGCCCCGCCCAAACGCTACCAGGAGCTGAAGGAGATGATTAAAGCAGCAGTGGCTGACAAGTTCACATGATCACATGATGCTGTTGTAGTTGTAATGCAAGGAAGTTATGAGAGAGAGAGGGAGGGAGGGAAAGAGAGAGATGGAAAAGAAGGGGAGGGGAAGAATGTGTTGTATATGTCTGTGTGTGATTTTATCCATGTGTGGCTGAGAGAGACAGACAGACAGACAGTATATATAAGAAAGAAATGGAGAGAGAATGCGAGAGACTGAGAGAGAGAGCGACAGACAGACAGACAGACGGTATGTATAAGGAAGAAAGGGAAGGAGAATGAAAGAGACTGAGAGCGAGAGAGAGAGACAGATAGACAGACAGACCAGCAGACAGAGACAGAGATGGAGAAAGAGAGACAAAAAATTGAATATGTTTATTTGTTTGATTGGATGTATGTATGTGTATGTTGGAAAAAAAGACAACAAGAATAGAATATGTTTGTATGTATTCGTGTGTGTGTGTGTGTAAGTGTGTGTGTGAGAGAGAGAAAAAGAGAGAGTGTGTGTGTGTATGTCTGTCTGTGTGTATCTAATTACTGGTTGTGATACATCTAAACAGAACATAGATGCAGGTGCTCTCGAGTCATATTTTCTGATGCTTCAATACCTCGGACTTTACTTCCTATGACTATTAAGCTCAGAATTTTCCCCTTATTTGAACTCCAAACAGAATTCCTCTGGACTTGCCTGTATTCTTAAAGGCAATAGTTTTTTGTCCCAGAATCTCAAGTGAGAGATACGAAAACGTATTGTGGATGAAAGCAGAAGTGAGAGAATACATGCATAGGGATTGCCCAGTTTTGTTTTGTTTTTGGGGGGATTTTGGGTTCTTTTTAAGGTGGGGAGGGGAACTATCTGAGCCGTGCACTTTTGAGGAAAAAAACTATCAAAGCCGCGCACTATCAGAGCGCACTCGTTTTGATGATATCGATACAATTAAATTGCCGATTTCATCCAACAGTTACAGTTCTCTTAACAAAATAACTCTGACAGCCCCCATCCAAATTTATTCGTCTTTCTGAAGACATTATAAGAGACTTCCAGACCATTTCAAAGCTGAAACTAAAAAAAACACAGACCAAACAGAAAGGCACTACCAAGAAAGAGGAAGGGAGAATGTGTTTCGAGCAAATGTACACAGACGGACAAGTTTCACAACTCCAATCTTTATCCTGAATGAGCAAGAAAATGCCGTCCTAACACTTTAAATATCGTCCCTGTACTGTAGATATGCTTTTATACCTGAGAAGCTTATTCGTTTGATTCAAAATCTAACTATTGATATATTATTCTTGTCTTAAGCAGAGCCTACATGAATAATTTGTTTGATAGTATTGGTTTTGGTACTCAGCAATCTAATTGTATTGATATCATCAAAGTGAGCCGCTCTGATAGTGCGCGTCTATGAACTAGCTATGACAGTTTTTTCTCGAAATTACACATGCGGAGCTCTTATCTTCTCCCGCGGGGGAAGGGGGAGGGGGGGGTGCTGTGGTGTGGGGGTTTTTTGTCGTTGTTTTGAGTTTGGATTTTTTTTTCTCCAGATTTCCCTTCTTATGGGAAGATCATGCTTAAAATGTTTTTTGTTTTTTTTAAGCAAAGCCAAAAAATAAACGCTTCTTCATGAAAGTTTTCCAACCATGATACCGCAGGTTTGAACGGAGGAGTTGGATCTAATAGGCTTTTTTTTTAAAGTCTTTGTTTGGTTACATAGCAATTTGTTCAGATGACCTGCAAAATCATTATGAGTCGAATAGCCTAGGTCATGTTCCTGGTTGTCAGTTAAAATAAATAGTTTCTCTAGAATTAGATTATTGAAGGAATGCTGAAAGGAACCTGATGTAGTCTACCAAATACTTGCCTTGTTGTGTATCTTTAAAAAGAAACTTATTATTATTATTATTTGGTTGCTTTTTTCATACTGAAGCTGTCTATGCTGTTTAAGTTACTGAAAGAGCATCACTCCCAGCTTTTTCATACCACATCATTTTGAGGGTAACAAACTTCTTGAATAATACAAACAAACAAAATCTAGCTATATAATTTCACCATGCTACTTTTACAAATTATGCGTCATCAACAATGAGCAATTGAGTGATAATTTATTCTTTAAATTGGTGCTAGTGTTGATCTGTAATGTGTGAGAGATTTGTAGGTGTGTGGGGGTTAAGGTGGGGGTGGGGGGGGGGGGGTGGCGACTGATTGTATGGATACTTTTTGCAAGAAGAAAAAATGAAGAACAATTCACTGCATAACTGCTCTGAGAAGTAGTTTTTAAATCTGGTATCTGTTTAGAAGTTTATTTTACTTTCACAGGTTAAATTGGGCGTCTTTTAATGCAATAACGAATGCACAAGAACAAATCAAGAACGAATGTGTGTGTGTGAATAGGGACCCATAGTATGAACCTAAAAAGCTATGTTTAGAGTTGAACTCTCAGCTAGTTGCTCCTGGTTTGGTTTTGTTTTGTTTTTTTGTTTTTTTGGGGGGGTTGCGCTGCTATTGTTGTTGTTTTTTATCTGTGTGTTTGCTTTTATGCGGTTTGCTGAAAGACAGACAAATAATGTAGTTCTATTGTGTGTTCTCAATTGTTAATTGTTCTGGTACATTGCTTTTTCAGGTTTTTATCATAATGGTGTTCATTTGTCTTCAGTAATTGGCAAAGATTGTACGCTACAAGATGCTTTAAATCCTCTCTTTCAGATGGTTGTAGGGAGAGGAACTGTTCACACCATATATAAAGAGTAGGAGCAAAAATTACTGTAAAGTGACGGCTGTTAGAAAAGTGAAACAAAACTCCTTTTTTTTTCAAGCGCCAGTGGGGACACTATCAAGAACTGCAAGACTGGAAGTTGATTTTTTAGCACGTTTTTATTTTGCATTGTTTATTTTCTTTTTCCGTGCTTTTGTGGGAATTTCATAAACATGTATTCAAAATAGTCCTCATTGTGTCTTATTATAAGAACAAATTTTACCCTTTCACGCTAAAGATAGAACAACAGCAGTTAGTCTGCAAACATTTTGAATCTGTATTCCACTTTATGGACTTTGTTGTACTTTGTATTCTTTTTATCAAATGTTAAGTTTGAAAATAAGTATTTTCAGACCGTACATACTGGTTGTATGCCACTGAATTTAGTGCAATATTTGCGAAGAAAGTACAGTATGAGTGATTCAAGTACATTAAGTGTACTTGCAGCATGGTTTCACGCTTGAAAAGGAAATGCCACCGACAAATACGTTTTCTTTTAAATTGTGAATTTGTTTAGATAACAATATTATTATCATCATGTTAGTGTTCATCTGCTTAGAAGTATGAGAATGCTTCTTCTATTGCTCGTTCTTTTGGTTTCAGTTTACGGTGTTACGGTACTGTAATAAAAAAAAACATTTCAATTACTCACTGTACTATTTGGGTTTACAATGTTTGCTTTTGCACAAATACAGAAAGTCAGCAAATGTTTATGAACAGATTCTGAAAATCTTCCGAAAGGGATCGTCTAAAATCAGTCGCATGAAATCTTTAATCTATGAACATTTAGTTTTATTTTCTTTATGTACATTTGTTAACCTTTTGAAGAAATCAGTCAACTGGCATCTGTGGTATAGTGGTTATAGATGCCTCGCTATCGCATGCAGAAAATCTAATTTCAATTCCTGTGTAGAGAGAATTTTCCCCTAACAATCTAGGTTGGCCTTGACAGGAGGTTGTATTAAAGCCCACCTCCTTCGAATTTGTGAAGGTAGGGATGTAAAAACACTTAATTAGGCCTTATTTTTAAAAATTGTTTAAGTTAAATCTTCCCATTCTTTCCTTTAGCCTGTATCACTGATATGAAGGAAGTTGGATGCAAACTCATAAAAATGAGACTTTGAAGAGTTTGAAGCGTGTTGTTTATTATTACAGACTCTCACTTTGTCAGTCACAAATCGATTACATGAAATAGAGGGCCAAATATTTGTCGAGTCAAAAGAATCAAATTCTGAGACAAATGAGGACATAGAACGCAAAGGCTTTGAAAGCCGTTTAAGAATCACCCTTGACATTCGCATATTTTACTTTAATATATTATACAGTTGTAGCGTGGTTAGGCTGTCAGGCTGTTAATGAAAAGGAAGAGGCTAGCCGTACTTAATGACGGCTAGACTGGCAGTCTAGCCGTACTTATTCTTAATATGATGGCTAGACTGACCATTTAACAAAAAATAGGCCTACTGAATTGTAAATATACTTTTTTAGTGTGCAGTACCTAAAGTATTTGTATTTGAGACGAAACCAGGTGCCTAAATGACAGTGCATGTATTTTAAACCTCCTGTTTTCTAATGTTAATAGGGCCTAAGATAAGTACGGCTAGACTGGCAGTCTAGCCGTACTTAAGTACGGGTAGACAGCCAGGCTAGCCGTACTTAAGGACTCTCAGTCTAGCCGTACTTTCTCAGTCTAGCCGTACTTAAGTACGGCTAGCCACTTCGCAATGAAAAATCATGGGTTCGAACCCCGCCCAATCTGGATCAACTTTGCTGTAAGCCTACACCACTTGTATCAATGCAAGAGCCGTCGTGTCGGGAACGTGGTAGTCCTGTGATCAAACTCAATGCGGCTACTTTTACCAGACCTGCGTGTGAACACAGCAGCATTAGGAGACTTGGTTACTTTTTGAAACGCACTGCTCAATCGAAGGGACACAATTCGGTTAATATTTCAAATATAAATAGTCGGCACACAAGTTGTCTGAATTGATTTGTGGGACTCAACTGGAGGAGCAAGTCGATTTGATCAATTAATTACAGTTATATCATGTGTTTGTTTTCCTTTGGAGGGGGGGGGGGTTCTTTTTATTAATTATTTGACAAAGTCACGCACTGAGCTTTTTAATGGAGCCCAGAGTTAATCCTTGACTGGCTGATCAAGTCAATAAAAAAAACCTAGATGAATAAGATCAAAAGTCTTGCTTCCAAAGTGAAAAGTGTAATAAGGATAAAGATACATACAATGCTAGTCCTGTTTTGACCAACACACTCTCACTCTGTCTTGAGTGAGTGACCTCTTCTGTTACCCTCATCCACTTCTTGTACACCCTCCTTGTGGTTGGCT